CACACACACACACACACACACACACACACACACACACACACACACACACACACCCACCCACGCACGCACGCACGCACGCACGCACGCACGGACACACACGGACGGACACACACGCACGGACACACACGCACACACACGGACACACACGGACACACACGGACACACGCGGACACACACGGACACACGCGGACACACACACACACACACACACCCACAAACAAACACACACACACACACACACACACACACGCGCACATGTGGACACAAACACACACACACACACAAGAGACACACACTCACACAGACACACACACACACACACAGACACACACACACACACACACACACACACACGCACACACACACACACACACACACACACACACACACGCGCGCGCGCACACATGGACACACACGGACACACGTGCGCGCACACTCACACACACACACACACACACCCCGCCACACATGGACAAGCACTCCATCACACACAGAGACACACACACACACACCGCCACACATGGACAAGCACTCCATCACGCACAGACACAGACAGACACAGACAGACACAGACAGACACAGACAGACACAGACACACACACACACACACACACACACACCGTCTGGCTTTGTTGATGCCAGCACACTTGCAGTTGCGCTCGCTGGCGCGCTGAAGCAAGAAAACGTGGTAGAGGATGTGGACGATGCTGAGGAAAATGGCGTTGAATGATGTGCTGTCTGATGGGTAATAAGCTATCTGTTCTGGATTGTGATTATTGTGATGTTGTAGAGGTTCGTGTCGCACCGGTATGTTGAAATAGTTGGGTTGGCAAACCTTGCGTCTCAGTAGTGAAGGTCGCACCGCGGGTGGTTTTGTTGGAGATCGTGTCACCCACATCTTGACTCAAATAGAGCGTGTGTGTGGCCGCCACCCCCGCGCCCGCTTTTTGTTGGACTCATCCCCGGATACTTTGCAGCAGCTTCTGAAGATTCTAGCATCTTCAAGTTGGCTTAAGTTGGCTTCTCAGAGTTTCAACATTGTTGTCTTAGCAGCTCTTCAGCGCTCTCAAGGCCTCAGAATGCTGAACTGTGCAGAAGCCTGCAGCACTGCAGCCTCGCAGCACTGAATCCTGAGAGCACGCACGCACGGACACACACGGACGGACACACACGCACACACACGGACACACACGCACACACACGGACACACACGGACACACACGGACACACGCGGACACACACGGACACACGCGGACACACACACACACACACACCCACAAACAAACACACACACACACACACACACACACGCGCACATGTGGACACAAACACACACACACACACAAGAGACACACACTCACACAGACACACACACACACACACAGACACACACACACACACACACACACACACACGCACACACACACACACACACACACACACACACACACGCGCGCGCGCACACATGGACACACACGGACACACGTGCGCGCACACTCACACACACACACACACACACCCCGCCACACATGGACAAGCACTCCATCACACACAGAGACACACACACACACACACCGCCACACATGGACAAGCACTCCATCACGCACAGACACAGACAGACACAGACAGACACAGACAGACACAGACAGACACAGACACACACACACACACACACACACACACACACACACACACACCGTCTGGCTTTGTTGATGCCAGCACACTTGCAGTTGCGCTCGCTGGCGCGCTGAAGCAAGAAAACGTGGTAGAGGATGTGGACGATGCTGAGGAAAATGGCGTTGAATGATGTGCTGTCTGATGGGTAATAAGCTATCTGTTCTGGATTGTGATTATTGTGATGTTGTAGAGGTTCGTGTCGCACCGGTATGTTGAAATAGTTGGGTTGGCAAACCTTGCGTCTCAGTAGTGAAGGTCGCACCGCGGGTGGTTTTGTTGGAGATCGTGTCACCCACATCTTGACTCAAATAGAGCGTGTGTGTGGCCGCCACCCCCGCGCCCGCTTTTTGTTGGACTCATCCCCGGATACTTTGCAGCAGCTTCTGAAGATTCTAGCATCTTCAAGTTGGCTTAAGTTGGCTTCTCAGAGTTTCAACATTGTTGTCTTAGCAGCTCTTCAGCGCTCTCAAGGCCTCAGAATGCTGAACTGTGCAGAAGCCTGCAGCACTGCAGCCTCGCAGCACTGAATCCTGAGAGCACGCACGCACGGACACACACGGACGGACACACACGCACACACACGGACACACACGCACACACACGGACACACACGGACACACACGGACACACGCGGACACACACGGACACACGCGGACACACACACACACACACACCCACAAACAAACACACACACACACACACACACACACGCGCACATGTGGACACAAACACACACACACACACAAGAGACACACACTCACACAGACACACACACACACACACAGACACACACACACACACACACACACACACACGCACACACACACACACACACACACACACACACACACGCGCGCGCGCACACATGGACACACACGGACACACGTGCGCGCACACTCACACACACACACACACACACCCCGCCACACATGGACAAGCACTCCATCACACACAGAGACACACACACACACACACCGCCACACATGGACAAGCACTCCATCACGCACAGACACAGACAGACACAGACAGACACAGACAGACACAGACAGACACAGACACACACACACACACACACACACACACACACACACACACACCGTCTGGCTTTGTTGATGCCAGCACACTTGCAGTTGCGCTCGCTGGCGCGCTGAAGCAAGAAAACGTGGTAGAGGATGTGGACGATGCTGAGGAAAATGGCGTTGAATGATGTGCTGTCTGATGGGTAATAAGCTATCTGTTCTGGATTGTGATTATTGTGATGTTGTAGAGGTTCGTGTCGCACCGGTATGTTGAAATAGTTGGGTTGGCAAACCTTGCGTCTCAGTAGTGAAGGTCGCACCGCGGGTGGTTTTGTTGGAGATCGTGTCACCCACATCTTGACTCAAATAGAGCGTGTGTGTGGCCGCCACCCCCGCGCCCGCTTTTTGTTGGACTCATCCCCGGATACTTTGCAGCAGCTTCTGAAGATTCTAGCATCTTCAAGTTGGCTTAAGTTGGCTTCTCAGAGTTTCAACATTGTTGTCTTAGCAGCTCTTCAGCGCTCTCAAGGCCTCAGAATGCTGAACTGTGCAGAAGCCTGCAGCACTGCAGCCTCGCAGCACTGAATCCTGAGAGCAAAAATGAGCAAAACAATTTCGTGATCCCAGTGCTCACTGGCATTATGTGGGCCCTGTGAAAACCCTGCGCCTGAACCGGGAAATGCACTGTTGGACGGTTTAAACAAAAGCAGCAGCAACCCACAAAGCTGACAAAGCTTCCTGTGCGCGCACGCCCACGCGTACACGCGCGCAAACTCTCACAGCATGCACGCAAGGTCGAGGACAACCTGTGAACATCAGTGTGATGGAAGACCAATCAGGAACCTGCAAGGAGCCGAATGTTTCAAGTCAGAGAAGGGTAGCCGGTACATCACTGACTGGTGTGAATGAGTTTCGGTCAGGGCAGCCCGTGCAGGCATGGCAACCTCTCGTTTTTGCAAATCAAAGCTCACGCTTTCACACACACACACACACACCCGCACGCACACACACACACACACACACACACACACACACACACGCACTCACACACACACACACACACACACACACACACACACACACACACACACACACACACACACACACGCGCGCGCGCTCGCTCTACTCCACACACCACACCTGCTCTCTCTCTCTCTCTCTTTCTCTCTCTCTCTCTCTCTCTCTCTCTCTCTCTTCCTCTCTCCCTCCTTTCCCCCCTCCCACACACGCACACCACAAACCATCACACAGTGACAGCGTCACATGCCCGATAACACGAAAAAGGGACTGCTCCTGTGATTGTCTGGAAGTGGCAGGTCCCATCCATGTAGAAGTCGACCGGCTCAAAATCCCCAAGACGGTCCTCTTACGAGCAAAGACACTCAGTGGAATCTGCCTCGCAGCCCCTCTCCTTTCCCTCTCCGTCTCCCTCTCTCGCTCTCGCTCTCTGTCCCTGTCCCCTTATTTCCCCCCCCCCCCCTCCCCGCTCTTCAAAGGTGACAGAACTTTGGCGGAACTCTTTCACTCTATCTCTGTAGCCACGGTCCAGCAAGGGATGCCTCCCAGCCTGACCGTGATCGTGAGTAAGAGAGAGAGGAGAGAAAAAAAGAAGAGAGGGGAGTGGGAAGGGGAGGTGAGGGCGGGGATGGGGGAAAGGGAGAGGGAATAGGGAAGAGGGAGAGGGGCGACAGCAGGAGAGGAGAGGAGAGAGAGGAGACAGGAGAGAGGAGAGACGACGGAAGAGGGAGGCGAGAGGAGATAAGAGCGAGGAGGACACAGATGGCTCCTGAACCGTGCGGCCTCCATGACATGTGCCAAGCTCCATAACATGATGACATGAGCCCCATGAGTCCCATGAGTCCCATGAGCCTTGACGGCGATAGGAGCCTCCGGTGCGTCGCGCATCTCTGGCCTCAACTCATTCAATTTTCATCATTCTACAGAAGCAAGGTGGAGATTCCAAGAGGGCTCTCCAAGAAAAGGGGCTCCTTCTTCGAGAAGCAGCTGGACTGGGCGGGACCCCTCCGCACTCCAGGACAACACAAAAAGTTCCGAAGAAGGACTCTGAGCTGGACCCGAGAGACCTCGTGTTCGATTGAAGCCCAGCTTCCCCTGTTTTTCTCGGCTCTCCCCCAACCCGCAAGAATCCTGCAAAGGTCTCGCAAGGCTTAGAGAAGCCTCTAGCCGAGGGCCGTGGAGTGCAGATATTTGGGAACCGAAGTGCTACTGTATTGCCCGCAATAGCGCGAGATCAAAAAAGACTCTTCCTTCGTGCTATCTTGCCAAGTTCAACACTTCCAGTCTTTACCTACTGCCTTGCAACTGCGTGCCCCGCCGAACACAACTGGCCGAGAGAGCGTAGCCGGCGAAGGCTGCAATCAGGTCCTCCGAGCAGAGTGCATCGCGAGAGTTAAGCTCCCTGTCACGACACGGCCCCAACTGAGGGTCCAACAAGGGGTTTTGAATGAAGTATGTACTCGAAAAGTTGCAAAAATTCTGTCCAGGACTGCTGCTGCTTGTGAGGCACGGTGCAGCAGCGTGGCCTCCCAGCGACGAATTGGACACCCATACGGCTGTTCTTTGCCTTATGGCGGTTCCTTAAGTTCTTTTAAGAGTTTTTGGAGAGCTCTCGATCCCCGCCGACCCATCGCCGTGAGCGCACGGGAAGCCCTCACGACCCGGACAATTGAGTAGGATTCAAGAATCAAGAGAATGCAAACCTGCACCGCTCAGTGTCTTCTGCCGCTTGCCCCGTTACGTGGGGCAGGTGGGGCGTGGAGCACATGGGGCAAGTGTGGCAAAATGAATTAGTTCTTCTGGAGAAGCAAGTGGGGCAAGTGAGGCAAGTGGGGCTCAATCAGTTGGGGGCTGCTGCAGGCGCCCTCAATGCGATAATCGGCGAATACCCCCTCCTGGCCGCTGGAGTTTACAGTGAACCCCGCCTGCCCGGGCCCCCCCCCCCCCCCCCCCCCCCCCCCCCCCACGAAAGCCTATGCCAGGCTTCAGGTTTGGGACTTTCCAGAAAACTCAGGGTTTAGGGCTGGGCTCGAGTTTCGATGTGGTAGCGGAGGACTCTGGAAGAGTTTAGTGTGGACTTTGTTCTTTGTTTCGGAGGACTTTCCAAACTTCGCCCCAGCGGGTGTGCTAAAATGCTCACTTCCCTATATCCCTCAGCAGCCAGACAGCATGCCGACTCTTGGCTCAAGACTTCATGTGCCTGTGCTAACACCACACTTGCAGCTGGAGATGTCGTAAAGCACACGGCTGCCCCTACTGCAGCTGGAGATTGCCCACTTGTGTGCGGGGCTCGGTGACCTCGGTTACTGGTTCATAGTAACTTTCACCGTTGAGGGCAGATCTACAAAACATAGCAAGATTTTTGAGTTGGATCCTAAACCCTCACCCTTTACTCAAAAGCAATACTTAGGGAATTGCTTCTAAAAGTCTTCGAAAACGCTGTTGATCACCTCCGATTATCGATGCCCCTCCCCCCCCCCCCGGGTGCAGTGATTCAACGCCCTGTAAGCCCCCTATTGAGAGGCTCGTTGCTCCTGTTTTCCGTTCATAGGACCCTGTACACGCTCAAGCCCTGCAGTCCTTAGAGTCTAGGCCTCAAGGCCCTGCAGTCTTTGGTTTAGGGCTCCAGCCCCTGCACCACGTTTAAGGAACCAAGCCCGGCAGTCGCTTGCTTCGGGCTCCAGCTTAGTGACTTAGTGAGCTCCTTCGACATGCGCATTTAACGGGCCCTGAGCTCCTTCTCGAACTCCATCTCCATAAAACTCTCCAGCTCTCTAACTCTAACTTTATCTAAAACACTAACTCTATCTCTAACTCTCTAAAGCTCTGGCAACACTCTCTCTCTCTCTAACTTGTCTCTGGGCCTCGCCTCGCTCCGCAGCTCGTGCAGCAGGCCGCCGAGCGCTTCCGCCGTGCGCTTCCTCAGAGAAGAGATTTCACTCACTTTTGTCTCTCCTTCAAGTCAGGTTCCTCTTTCTTCTCTCCTTTCTCTCCTTTCTCTCCTTCCCTCTTTTCTCTCCTTCCGTTGTGCAAGGGGCAGGATCTCGGCCTCTGCCTGGCGGAGCTTGAAGTTCTCCTCTCAACCCGCTCTGTGTTTCTGTGTCACAGATCCCATTCATTCCTTGGGCGAGAGCGAGTGAGAGAAACTAACTGAGAGTGAGTGAGAGTCTCGGCGAGTCTCCTGGTTGAGGTCCTTGGTCGTGGACTCGGCTCGTTGCGAGCGCTGTCCCTTGGAGTTCTTCTTCAGGCTCGTGTGAAGGAAGGCTTCCGGGATCCCCATGGCTTCATGTGACAAGAACCAGCCTTCCAGAGCAGACTCATTCTGACTCATTTCTGAGTCAACTGTCTCGTCAACTCTCTCAGTGCTTCTTCGTCGTGTCTCGCCTTTCTCCAACTCCAGAGGTTCGCCGGAGTTTTTTGACGCGCAGATGAAGACGCAGACACAACTTGACGCAAGAGTCAGGGCTTGCTTCGAATAGCCGCAAATAGCCTGCATAGCCCTACCCCCCTACCCCACCCCCCTCCCCCTTCCCTCCCTCCCCTCCCCTCCCTCCCCTACCCCCCGTACCACTTTAACAGAAAAGTAAGGAGATAGAGAAAGAGAGACAGGGTCAGGGGGAGAAGACGCAGGGGTAAGAACAAAGTAAGAAGAACATGTGAATTCCTCTTCTCTTCTGTTATTCTGTTGCTTTTTGTTTTGTTTCTCTTTTCAGCAATCTCCCGCTCTGCTTCAGCAAATCTCTTTCTTCCTTTTCATTCCTTTCAACCTCCCCCTCCTCCTCTTCCAACTCTACGAGACGTACCACTCAGATAAGAACGAGACCAAGAGCGAGAGCAAGAGCGACCGGGCCGAAGAGAAGGGGGAGGAGCAAGGTTTTTCAAGAAATCTAATCTCCTCCTCTAGTCTTATCTCTTTCTCTTTCTTTTTAGCAAGAAAGAAACTGATATGGACTTGAGAAGGGGAACTCGGTCTATGCTTCTCTCAATGTCCCGCCTTGCCTCATTCCACGCACCACCACCACGTACCAGGACCATCACCACGCACCACCCACCACGTACCACCACCACGCACCACCACCACGGACCGCCACCACGGACCGCCACCACGTGCGCCAACACCACGTGCCAACACCACATGCCACCACATGTACCCCCACCAGCGGCAGCGCCAGCACCAGCACCACCACCGCCACCACCACTACCACCATCACCAGGCAGCACCACCATCACCACCAGGTACCACCACGACACCACCACCAGGCACCACCCACCACCGCCAGAAGGTACCACCGCCACCACCACCCCCATGTGCCACCACCGGCATTCCGTGGCGGCAGGACGAGGCAGACGAGCATGCTGCGGAGGCCCACAAGATCTTCACCAGCTACAAGGATATGGAGGTCGAGGACGACCTCATGGACAAGTGAAGGATTGGAGGAAAGAGTGGGTTGAGCCGTCTGGTGAGAAATACAACCGCAAATATTGGGGCCAAGGCCGGTGGGAAAGTGCACCGGAGGTGCAGCTGACGGCGCCAGCTGGCCGAAACAAGGGCCTGAAGAGGGTGGCTGCAAGCGCAAATGGATCAGAAGAAGGATTGGCCGTGGATTGGAGGTGGGCGCACTCCGGATTTCCCAGGCCCGGCCAGAGTCTTTGCACGCTTGTCTGTTTTGTTAGTGTTTCTTTTCAGTTTTGTATCGCTCCTGGTGGGCAGGAGCGACTTGCATTGGGCGCTGGAGCCGCTCCGAAGGCTGCAGCGACCCCACCTGCCGAGAACCAGAGCGAGAAGGACGACGAGGCCCCCGAGGACACACTGGATTCAGTCGGGACATGGAAAGCCACGGTCATGACCGCTGAATCGATAGAACATGTGCTTGCTTGCTCTTCGGGAATGCTTGGCTACATTGCGAAGAGAAGAGTTCACATTCCAGGCCGAGCAGCAGAAGGGGGGCGACGGCGAGCAGGGCGAGGGTCAACGAGCTACAAGTCGGATCTTCCTGCAAAGAGCGAAAAACAAAGAGCTTGGAGTGGAAGAGTGAACTCCTTGGTAGGAGTTCGGGGCTTGTAGAAACATGCGCGCATGAGCACTCCTTCGTAGGAGTTCTGCAATACGTAGTTACAAGCCAGCAGTGCGCATGTGCAGGTGCACCATCCTCGAGGACCACCAGGAGTGCCAGCAGGCACATATGTACAGTGCTGTCATATGCGAGTGTGTGTTGCATTGGCTGTCCTGTGGCTGAAAGTGCCATCAAGAGGTGAACCCGGTGAAGCCAGGGTTCCAAAACCCCAAACCCCAAAACCACCAAGCGAAGGTCTGAACTTTGAATCCTGCACCTGAAACCCGGACCTGACCCTAAACCGTAAACCCAAAACCCAAAACCCAAAACCCAAAACCGGGCCCAAGCCCTGGGCTTTGCAGGGCACTGTTGCTTTGGGGAACTGTGAAAACTGCGGATAGCCTTCTTGAGGCGAGTTCACTCTGTTGGACGGCCTGTGATGCGCTCTTGGACATTGAAGCGTATAATCCGACCGGTGTCACTTGTCCTTGTTGTGGGTTTAAGTTCTCTTGTAGGGTTTCCTTGTTGCAGCACGTCAGAAAAAGAGCTGTTTGCAGGGAGGGTCTAAAGTGGATGTGGCAACAACACAGCAATGGAGTCACGCCCACTTTCCCAATATGTGCACTGTCCGGCAAGGCAAAATCCAAGCGGGAAAGAGCCAGAATCCCCATCATGTGGAGGGAGCTTCTTGTTCGAAGGCTCATAAAAGAAGTGCTGGCACAGGCCCAGTTCTTCAGAGATGAGCAGCGCGGAGCGCGCCATCAATCCCGCTAGGATGCTGCAGCCTGAAGCATTGGGCCCCAGGGGCTGCTTCAGGCCTTCTTGGCGTTTGGCCTCGGAGGCAGCGCGCGTGGCACCGCAGAGCGGCAGTAACACACACGCAGCGCCAGTTCGAGGCGGACCGCTCTTTCAGAGTGAGGTCATGTGTGTGTGTGTGTGGCCTGTGTGTGAACTCCATGGGAGGCACCCAAAGTTTTTAACAGGCATGTTTGTTCAACAGTTTTTAACGGTGTCAAAAAAATGAGTTTTCCTTTTAAATTTACCGGAAAACTGCTTTTTTGTGCAGTGTTAAACATTGTTAACAAAAGGCCTGTTTTTTTTAGTAGCAGTCGGTCCTTGCAAACTTTACAGGTGGTGTGCAATGCTGTCAGGTGCAAGCAGCAATTGCATGGATCCAGAAGGTGATTCTCCCGTGTGCTGTCGCGCCGACCATGCATGGGACTGCTGTGTCGCCCCTGCTCGCTTCATGTGCAAATCGATTGAGAACTAGTTCCTGTTGGTCTCCTTGGCAGGAGACTTCATATCCGGTTGAGTCGTTGCCATCGAAGCAGCAGCGAGTCCAAAACATTGCAGCGCAAGTCAGAGTTCTGCATCGTTTGTGTTCTTGCGACTCGGAATTAACAGCAGCATGACATGTGGGTCCAGGCGTTCTGCTCGAGCTTAGAGTCTTGGCAGTTCCCAGGTGGATTTGTGCTGTGTGTGCACCAAGCGAACACTGCATTCACAGCAGACATGTTGGATAGGCGTGGTCGAAGAGCTGGGCCCTCGAGTTGTTGGGGAAGAGCTCTAGCTCCGGTAAGCAGCACCACTTGAAAGCAGCGAGACTTACAAGGAGCTCGAGAAGAAATTGAAGGAGCTGAACTCGCAACCTGGACGAGTTCATGCTTTTAGAAGCCACAATCCAGAAGTTGGAACACCCGTCTTGGAGAAAGAAGTACGAGGAGGTAACCGTCTCTCCTTGGCAGGAGAACTGGAGACACGGGTAAATTAACGTGTGGATGAGTTATAACCCATTGCAATGTGTAGATGTTGCATTGGGGGGGTGACTCCTTGGTAGGAGTCTGGGAATACACTTTCTTCTTTGGCAGGATTGAGTCGGCGACTTGTTCAACAAGAGATCTTTACCAGATGAAGCGATTGAGGAACTACCGCCGGAGAAGAGATTGCGACACGACGTAGTGGATATCTTCTTGAATAACAATCTCAGCGCAGCACGAAGTGCAAGGATGATAGAAAATGTCAACCTGGCCGGAGCAGCCGGCTTAGAGGACATGCAAGTGTCGAGAGGCCTTAGCAGAAGAAAAACGTTCCGAAACTCCAAAATGGCCACCGCTCTACGAACTCAAGGTTCGTACGTTGAATCAGAAAACACAAAAGACGGAGACCCAGACCATCACGATGCTTTTGCCGCACGAACTCATTCACAGCGTTTTGAAGAAGAACGAGGCCATAGATCTTACTTATTGCTGCCCAACAGGCGGCCTTGGAACACAGGCCAGATTTGCAGCCGCATCAGGATAGGATGCGAGCTTGGGGAATGCACCCTGCTGAGACCCTTTTGACCGGGCATCTGGATGGATGGATGTACCCTTCAACTCTGACAGGAGTAAGTCCTTGGAAACTCTGACTCTCAACTTGCTCTGCGACAGACCATGCGATTGCCCTTGTGTGTTTATCCGAAAGATTTTCAAGCAAAGAAGGCAACCACCGAAGACATTTTCGATGTGGTGGTCTGGAGCATGAAAGCTTTGGCTCTGGGAATCTTTCCGGATACTGCCCATGATGGGTCACAGTTAAGTTATCGGGGTCAAGGGTTGCTTGGCAGAGCTCAGGGCAGACTGGAGTGCTTACAAGGAAGTGCTGGACTTTCCTTCCTGGTCCAGCAAGGGCTTCATTTGCTGGAGATGCAATTGCACATGAAGGAGTTCCAAGACCAGGATTGGGAAAGGCAACTTGCAGCATTGTTTTCGTTCTGTGTGCTTTTGGGCTACTATATAAACGCATGTAAACTCAGCGATGATGATAACGTTAGATGGCGCTGAGTTAACTCCGAGGTACCCACTCATTTCTAGTGTGCACTTCTTTCTGCGGCAGCGTCAGCAAGGGAAAATGATCTCCAGACTCTTTTCATCCCCGGGATTTGGAACCGAGTGCTGCAAAGTCGACTTTCTTCATGCTGCCGATATCGGAATTACATGCGACTTTCTGGGACCCCTCTTTTATTATTTGCAATCAGAGCGAATCAGAGGAAGCAGCAAATTGCTCAGATGTGTGAGGTTGCACGAAGACATTGAGCAGTTTTACAATACCAACGAGACCCAGGACAGGCTCCCAAAGCTGCTCCCTTCCATGCGCGAGGAGCAGAAGGGCAAACTGAAAGTGCCCAAGCTCAGAGCTATGGCAGGCGAGGCTCGATCCCTGGTACCCCGTGCAGTCGAGCTCACAAAAAAGCATTTGGACATGAACAAAGTGCACGCAAACACGTGGAGTGTCGAGGCTGACCGGGGCCAGCTGATTCTCGTGATGCTCGACCTCCCGCCTGTATTCTTGGGCAGTTGGTTTTGTGGCATGTGGAGCTTCGGGGCGTAGGGGGGGCCATCTGTCCAGAAGTGTAGCCAGCTGATGCTCATGATGCTCGCCTCCCGCCTTGTCAATGCGCATACTGTTGGGCAGTTGGTTCTGTGGTATCTGGAGCTGAGGGGCTGAGCGGGGCCAACTGATGCTCGTGATGCTCAACCTCCCGCCTTGTATTCTTGGGCAGTTGGTTGGGCGGCATGTGGAGAATCGGGGCGTAGGGGGGCCATCTGTCCAGAAGTGTAGCCAGCTGATGCTCATGATGCTCGCCTCCCGCCTTGTCAAATGCGCATACTGTTGGGCAGTTGGTTCTGTGGTACCTGGAGCTGAGGGGCTGAGCGGGGCCAGCTGATTCTCGTGATGCTCAACCTCCCTCTCCCGCTTTGTATTCTTGGGCAGTTGGTTTTGTGGCATGTGGAGCTTCGGGGCGTAGGGGGGCCATCTGTCCAGAAGTGTAGCCAGCTGATGCTCATGATGCTCGCCTCCCGCCTTGTCAAATGCGCATACTGTTGGGCAGTTGGTTCTGTGGTACCTGGAGCTGAGGGGCTGAGCGGGGCCAGCTGATTCTCGTGATGCTCAACCTCCCTCTCCCGCTTTGTATTCTTGGGCAGTTGGTTTTGCGGCATGTGGAGCTTCGGGGCGTAGGGGGGCCATCTGTCCAGAAGTGTAGCCAGCTGATGCTCATGATGCTCGCCTCCCGCCTTGTCAAATGCGCATACTGTTGGGCAGTTGGTTCTGTGGTACCTGGAGCTGAGGGGCTGAGCGGGGCCAGCTGATTCTCGTGATGCTCAACCTCCCTCTCCCGCTTGTATTCTTGGGCAGTTGGTTTTGCGGCATGTGGAGCTTCGGGGCGTAGGGGGGCCATCTGTCCAGAAGTGTAGCCAGCTGATGCTCATGATGCTCGCCTCCCGCCTTGTCAAATGCGCATACTGTGGGCAGTTGGTTCTGTGGTACCTGGAGCTGAGGGGCTGAGCGGGGCCAGCTGATTCTCGTGATGCTCAACCTCCCTCTCCCGCTTTGTATTCTTGGGCAGTTGGTTTTGCGGCATGTGGAGCTTCGGGGCGTAGGGGGGCCATCTGTCCAGAAGTGTAGCCAGCTGATGCTCATGATGCTCGCCTCCCGCCTTGTCAAATGCGCATACTGTTGGGCAGTTGGTTCTGTGGTACCTGGAGCTGAGGGGCTGAGCGGGGCCAGCTGATTCGCCTGTATTCTTGGGCAGTTGGTTTTGCGGCTGGAGATTCGGGGCGTAGGGGTTCCTGCCTTGTTCAACATGTGCACAATCTTGGGCACTAAGTTTTGTGACATCTGGAGCTTGGGAGCTGTGCGGAAGTGTAGCCAGCTGATGCTCATGATGCTCACCTCCCTGTTTGTCAAATGCGCATATATCTTGGGCAGTTGGTTTTGCAGCATCTGGAGGTTGGGGGTGTAAGGGGGCCATCTGTCCGGAAGTGTACCCAGCTGATGCTCATGCTGCTCGCCTCATTGCCAAATGTTAGGCAGTTGATTTTGCGGCATGTGGAGCTTCGGGCATCTGTCCGGAAGTGCTGCCAGATGATGCTCACCTCCCGCGTTGTCAAATGAGCATACTCTTGGGCAGTTGGTTTTGCGGTATCTTGGGGCTTGCCATCTGTCCGGAAGTGTACTCAACCTCCCGCCTTGTCAAATGTGCATAATCTTGGGCAGTTGGTTTTGCGACATGTGGAGCTTCGGGGCGTGGGGGGGCCATGAGCCCGGAAGTGTACCCAGCTGATGCTCATGATGCTCACCTCTCGCCCAGTACTGGACTTATCGTGATGAGTCTTTCGGCCAAACACTGGCGACGTTAGCGGCCAGGAGGGGAGGAAAGTTCAGCATGAAAGCCGTCTCTGCAGCAGTACTCGCAAGGTTTAGAGCTGCAAACAAAGTCCAGTGCTTGCAAGGACCGAGTTGAAAACAAGGAGTGCATGGTGGGCAGCCTTATAATTGCTGGCGGGTGAGACAAAAACTGTGTAGATGTATATATATATATATATATATTTATTTTGTTTTCTTTACATTTCTTTACAATGTTTGAAAATAAGCACGTTTTCGTCTTAATTAAACAATTTTTAAAGGATGTTTAACTTTAACCATCAGTACGTAATGAGTACGACAAAAAAGTACACAAAATTAGTGAAGCACTCTGGGCACGGGCCACCACGTACCACCACCACGTACCACCACCACGTACCACCACCACGTGCCACCACCACGTGCCACCACCACGTACCACCACCACGCGCCACCACCAAACACACCACCACGTACAGTACCACCGGAACGCCGCGGGGACGTGCCTCCTGTGAAGTTCCCTTGACGGAGTCGGATCCAGAAGTGTAGCCAGCTGATGCTCATGATGCTCAACCTCCCGCGTGGTACCTGGAGCTGCTGGGCTGTGCGGGGCCAGCTGATTCTCGTGATGCTCGACCTCCCGCCTTGTATTCTTGGGCAGTTGGTTTTGCGGCATGTGGAGCTTCGGGGCGTAGGGGGACCATCTGTCCAGAAGTGTAGCCAGCTGATGCTCATGATGCTCGCCTCCCGCCTTGTCAATGCGCATACTGGTGGGCAGTTGGTTCTGTGGTACCTGGAGCTGAGGGGCTGAGCGGGGCCAGCTGATTCTCGTGATGCTCAACCTCCCTCTCCCGCTTTGTATTCTTGGGCAGTTGGTTTTGCGGCATGTGGAGCTTCGGGGCGTAGGGGGGCCATCTGTCCAGAAGTGTAGCCAGCTGATGCTCATGATGCTCGCCTCCCGCCTTGTCAATGGCAGTTGGTTCTGTGGTACCTGGAGCTGAGGGGCTGAGCGGGGCCAGCTGATTCTCGTGATGCTCGACCTCCCGCCTTGTATTCTTGGGCAGTTGGTTTTGCGGCATGTGGAGCTTCGGGGCGTAGGGGGGCCATCTGTCCAGAAGTGTAGCCAGCTGATGCTCATGATGCTCGCCTCCCGCCTTGTCAATGCGCATACTGGTGGGCAGTTGGTTCTGTGGTACCTGGAGCTGAGGGGCTGAGCGGGGCCAGCTGATTCTCGTGATGCTCAACCTCCCTCTCCCGCCTTGTATTCTTGGGCAGTTGGTTTTGCGGCATGTGGAGCTTCGGGGCGTAGGGGGGCCATCTGTCCAGAAGTGTAGCCAGCTGATGCTCATGATGCTCGCCTCCCGCCTTGTCAAATGTGCATACTGTTGGGCAGTTGGTTCTGTGGTACCTGGAGCTGAGGGGCGCAGCATCTGGAGCTTAAGGGCTTACGGGGGCCATCTGTCCAGAAGTGCACCCAGCTGATGCTCACGATGCTCGCCCTCCCGCCTTGTCAAATGCGCGTCATCTTGGGCAGTTGGTTTTGCGTCATCTGGAGCTTAGGGGCTTTCGGCTGTCCGGAAGGGTACCCAGCCGGATGCTCATGATGCTCCTTGTCAGATGGGCAGTTGGTTCTGCAGCATCTGGAGCTTCGGTGCGTAGGGGGGCCATCTGTCCGGAAGTGCAGCCAGCTGATGAGCTGATGCTCATGATGCTCACCTCCCGCTTTGTCAAATGCCTGTCTGATTGGGATGAACGTGGCCCATTCTCCCGCCAGAGCTCCAGCTTGGGCAGGCTCCAGTCCCTCTGCAACTCTGCAAACTCCGAACTCACCTCTCCCGGAAGCCACTTGGTCTGTGGTGAGAAGTTTGGGAAGTCTGTCTCCCCTTGCGCGTCCTCGCAATTCCCCTTTTTTTGTGCCCTCTCCTGCCTCAAGGACTCCCCAAAAGAATTACTAGCCTCATTTAGTGTGAGCGTTGCCTGCCCTTCGGGCACCGGGCGCAGCAACAAGAAGAACAAGTCGCAGGCCCGGGCCTCTCTCATGTCTGCCCCCTTTCCGGCATTCGCTGCGCCGCAGGTGACGACATGTTCTTGTGCTGCGCAGTCACAGGCGCGACTCGCTTACTCACTTGCGCTCTGGGCGGCGGTTTGCCACACGTTTCATTGAAGCGTGGCAACTGCGCAGCAAAAGGGCAGGGTCACCGCACAGGGCCCGTTTGGTCATGGTCCCTACGTTGTACCGCTCATCCATGAGGCGGCTGGCCCAGTCTTGGACTTGGTCCAATCGCAGAAAAGAAGATTTCGGCCAAGCGCAGAACAAACGAAGGTCACCACGAAAAGAAACGTCAAGAACAAGGAGTGGATGGCCATGTAGATGGACAAGCTTTTTGTGCAAGTGCCGACATATTTCTGAACATCAGGGGCCGTGGAGTGCGGGAGAACTTGAACAGGGTGGCCGCGCCGCTTAGCGGCTTAGCGCATCTCCCATGGGAGCACCTCGGAGTTCCCTGCCCATACGCAGAATCGAACCATAGTTTGTGGACGAACAGTCAAAACCAGAGCCACGTCATCGAATGATACAGTGACGTGCTGCGGTAGTTCGAGCTATCACTTCTTGCTTTTTTGATGCGCAGGCCCGGGCCTCACTTCTGAAACTGGGTCAGGTTTGAAATTATGCAGATACATGATAAGATACATGATAGAAGCATGCGGCTGTGTGGCAAGAACCTGATAGGAGACCGAATGCAGATATGTGCCACGTACATCACAGACGTGGTGCACAACTGGAGATCCGAACTGAAGTGTGCAGTCCGTCTCTTTCTCTCTCTCTCTTTCTGCTCTCTCTCTCTCATCTCTTCTCTTCTCCTCTCCTGTCAATCTCTCTCTCTCTCTGTAGTCGCTCCCCTCTCATCTCTTTCTCTTTCTCTTTCTCCCTCTCGCTCGCTCTCCTCTTCACTCGCTTTTAGCTGCGCCAGGGCTGCGCCTCGCTTCTCTGCGAATTCCAGGCGCAGCCGAAGATCCGGGTACTTGGCAGCGAGAACTCGAAAAGTGCTTTGGATCTTGGCCATGGACTCACTCCACGTCTGCCTCTCCAGGGAGGTGCCCCAATCCCCGCAGCTTGAATCCTTTCCTTGAAGTGCCACAAACTGTTTTGCCCTCGATGCTCTTCAACGCCTAAGAAAACACCGAGACTGTTTTCAGTTGTTTTTACTGTCAACCATATCTCGTGAGAGAGCAGCGGCACATATGCCATCAGTGCACTGGCAGAGGTTCTCCACATTTTGCTTCTCCATATTTGAATTAGTGGGGGGGCCGGGACGCGATCTTGGATCTTTCCCTTAAACGGGTGCTCTCTGAGTGCAGAGAGTCGTGAGTCCACACGGAGAGCCACACGGAAGCTCCCCATTACCGCCCCAGCCCACGGATCCGGAATGGGGAGGAGTCCCCGCAACCGCGCGCCGTGGCAAGTGATGCCAAGACAGTGCTCGCATGATGGGTTTCAATTTCAAAAAGACGCATATGCTTTGAATCAAGCTTGCACGGCTTATCAAGCGAGGGGGGTGGGGCGAAGGCGGGGCGAGGCCCCCCCCCATGTGCAAACACAATGCTCGTATCATGGGCTTCAATGGTTCATATGCTTTGAAAAAGTGGCATGATGGGCTTCAATCGTTCTCAAATGCTTTGAACAAAGCTTGAACGGCTTAAAGAAGTGTGGGGGAGCGCAGCCCCCCCCCTCCCCCATTTGCCAAGACAGTGCTCCTTTCCATCGTTCATATGCTTTGAAACAAGCTGGCATTACCAAAAGAGGTGAGGGGTTCGGGGAGGCTCCCAACATTCATATGCTTGCACGGCAAAACAAGGCGGGGGGGGGGGTTGGGGGGTGAGGGGCCAAGCCCCAGGCCCCCCTCCCCCGCCCCGGCACCCCAGATAGAATTTTGGAAATAATGCTGTATCATGGGTTGCAATCGTTCATATGCTTCCGTGGCATGACGGATGTCCATCGTTCGTAATACTTTGAAACCACTTGCACGGCTTCAAAGGGCGGCACAGCCCCCCCCCCCCCCCCTCATTTGCACACAATGCTTGCTCATATGCTTTATAAAAAGTGGCCTGATGGGCTTCAGTTGTTCATGGCAAAAAAAAGCCAGGGGGTTGGGGGGTGAGGAGGGTCAGAGGCCCAAGAGGACCGGTGAAAGGGCGCCAGAGCACCAGGAGACCGCGGGCCGAAGGAGGAGACCAGCAGACCGGGAGACCGGCAGACCGGGGGACCACAGGGGACCACGAATGAAAAAAGTACAGCAAAAAAAAAGGTACAAAACAAGGGCGTCCTATTGAAACCTCACATTCGTCTCAAGAGCTTGAAAGAAAGAATACGCACCGCTTCCTTCCTCTGTCTTGTATTTTCTTGTGTCTCTCTTTGCCCAGCCTCAGGAAAGACATGACGGGGCAAGAAAGCAAAGACACCCCCACAAAAACTCTGCACTGCAACACTGCAACACTAGTGCTACAGGCGCGACACTCGAAGCCGCGACACCCGGTGATGCAGGATGCGCCCCGACACTCCGGAGAGCACGAACGGTGTCAGGAGTTCTGGACAAACAGGGGGAGAACACCCTGTTTGTCTCGCTCTTAAGCTTCGATTCCCGCCAAAGCGCATTTCCTTTGTCGCGCCATCCTAATCATAGCTTGGGAGTAGCCCTGAGTTATGGCACTTCAAGCGGGTTGGAGAGCGCGCTTCGAGCTCTGTGGTGCTTCCTTTTAGCGTGAGCGGGTGAGCGGGGTGGGAGGCGCGGGAAATGCGCAGGGCATCCGGGGGGAAAATCTTGGTGACACTCCGGGGTGAGAGCACAAAGAGCACTCTCGAAATGTTGCTCCCGAGAGGGCGCGTGTCAGCACTATTTCGAGCGCCATGTCATGCCAGCTCATCATGTATATATTCGTCTCGACATGTCTCGACTGCAGGGCCAGCCCCTCGCCTCGCCACATCCAACCTCAAAGTCGAAAGCGCAACAGCCCCTCCGTTCCTCCCTCCGTTCCTCCCTCCGTTCCTCTCTCCGTTCCTCTCTCCGTTCCTCTCTCCGTTCCTCTCTCCGTTCCTCTCTGCACCCTCTCCCTCTCTTTCTTTCTTGGGGGCATGGGGTCGGGGGTTCCCTTCCCTCGCGCAGTCAGTGCGCCCGGGCTTTCGGAGCGATTGGTGATTTCCGGCAGGCCGGGGGGTCAGACATCACCCTCACGCTTCTCTTCGCTCTCTCTCTCTCTCTCTCTCTCTTTCTTTCTCTTCCTTCCAGTGCACGCAGCCCCCGAAGGGGTTGCCCCAAGGGGCGCGCTCCTCCTGGTCCGTTGGTGTGACACTGGGGCTTTGTGAAAGGCTCCCAAACCCCAAGACGAACAAACACGGTGAAGTAATGCGCAACTAACCCTTGCAGAAGAGGTTTCCCCGCTCATTCATCTACTTATCTACTTTTTGTGTACTTGCTCCACCCTGCATCAGAAAGATAGTTCGTAGAACATGGTCACAAACGTTGGTGGGCAGAATGGAATTTGGTACTTGGATCATTGCCTGTTGTGTGTTCTGCACCGCATTGCCCCTCGTAATTACGTGGCTCTTTTTCGTGTTTACATCGGAAACTCCCCCTCCCGGGCAAGTTGAGGAGGTCTCTGTGCCTCGGACAGGACAGAAGGGCTTAAGCAAGAACATCACTTCGTGGCACAGCGCTCCCTCGTGAAAAGCACTCTCAGGCACTACTTGCAGTTCGTGTTCACGAAGACACGGTGGTGATCGGGTAGTGGGGTCTTACCGATGTTGTGGCGTAGGTTGTGGCCCACATTGTGGCATACCTGGCATACCTCCACTTGTTCTTGTAGCTCTTGTAGTAACTGTTGCAGTAGCGTGATGGCCTCACTGCATGCTTGCTCCACTCGGGTTCGGGCCTCACTTTCTTTCGTGGGTGAGTGGTTGGGGTGGTTGGGGTGGTCCCTCTCCCTCTCCTTCTGCAGGGCATGAAGGACGAGGGAAGACAACCCTAGCCCTTGCACACTAGGTGCCCCCGGAGTCCTGTCTCGGCGGTAAAGGGAAATCCGTGGAATGATCACAAAAACTGGGGAGAGACTACCTAACAACACCTACCTCTCTCGCTCTCTCTCGCTCTCTCTCGCTCTCTCTCGCTCTCTCTCGCTCTCTCTCGCTCTTTCGCTCCGTCTAGTCTTGCGACACGACATTTCGAAACTTTCATACTGCAAGCTTTCGCTCCTCTGGGTGTGGTTGAGCTCCGGGCAAGGCGCTCACATTGCTCTTCACAGCATACATCAAGGCGCAGTGCGCCATGGAGCCCCGTTGGGAGCGTTGCGAGAACCCTTCGGAGTCCAGGACGCGGTCAAGCTCCTCCCACTTGCGCTGCTCTTCAGTTGCTTTCAGTTGAGCCCAGCACTCTTGCCCACAACGGAGAACGTCCAAGAAACTCCCAGATCTTCGGCCCAGCCTTGCAGAGCTCCGAGAACCTTCGAGGGATGGGCTCTTCTGTGGCTTTTTTCGGGATAGCGCGCAGAGAAATCTAACAGCTGCTAACACACTCTCTGACGAGGCTTCGGCCGCCGGTGGCCCAGCAGCGTCCGTAGCTCTTCCAAGAGCCCTTCCTCTCAGAGAAAATCAGAGAGGGACTGCTGAAGAGCAAGAAAGAGCAGAGAAGAAGAGAGGAAGTATGAGAGAGAGCAAATTAGGAAGAGAGCAAACGAGGTGAGAGCAGAACGAGTGAGAGGCCTTCGGCGCCGCTTCGAGCGCGTCGGCGAGGAGCGGCAGGGCCTCTGAGCACTCTTTCACAGAGAGAGAAAGAGAGTCTGAGAGCCAGAGAAAGCGAACTTGAAAAGAGGACGTGAACAGGTTCAGCTCGTTTCTTGGACTCAGACAGAAACTCGGTTGAACTCCCTGGCTCTTGGCTCTGGAGACTCTGGGGTGCATGTTGGGCCGCCCGGCAGCCAGGACATTGCGCAGGCGGAGCGCAGTGCGCGCGGCAACCTGCATCGCCACAAGAAAGAACGAGAACAAAAGCCAACGAAATTGGCGGAGAGGGAGAGAGAGAGAGAGAGAGAGACGTGGAAAAAAACCCTCTCTTCCGTGGAAAACGGGGAAGGCGCTCTCTCAGAGGCTCCCGCCTTGCCTTGCAGCCGTCGGAGCCGGAGCCAAGGCTCCCAAGGCTCCCAAGGCTCGGCTCGCTCAGTCGGGCCAGGAGCACATCCAGGTCTCCCTTGAGACGGGGGCGACATCGCAGTTTTGAGAGAGAGAGAGAGAGAGGGGCCGCTGAGGGATATCATCGAGAGATCTGCATTGTAAAACCATGTAAAACCCAAGGGACCAGTGCCGGCAGCAGCTGCTGGAGCTGAAAGAACAGCGGCTCGTCTCGAAGCAAGGCCTCCACCGCCTGCTGCCTGGCCTCGCTGCTCGTGCTGCGCGGCGCGCGTCTTCACATGAGAGTGTCCGACGCCTCCTCCTCCTCCCTCTCTCTCTCCCTCTCTCTCTCTCTCTCTCTCTCTGTCCGCCGACCCCTGCGGGAGCGGGGGGCGTAGTGAAGACCCATTCTCGTCACCCCCACCAAGACGCAACACTGACAAGAACATTGGCATGTGTACAAGTGCGCTTTGAACATTTCATGCAGAGCTCTGGCTGAGAGCTGGGGCCTGCCCATTGACGAGCTCAGAAACGTTGGCTTGTACAAACTTTGATCTTCGCTGAATGGTCGTTTGGGAAGCTCGGTCGATTGCTTTGTGCATCGAGATGAGAAGAGTAAAACATTGCGCAAACCTTGTGCTTGGAGCAGCATGTACTGAGGTATTGGCGAAGCTCCAAAAAAAACATCCTGAGCACCTTTGCCGCGCGCAGCTCCTTAGGGTGGCCTTTGAACCCACGGTCAAGTTGTCCATGTCTTGGAAAACTAGCAGCGCGCATCATGAGCATCTGCGCCGGGGCGGTGGGGCACGAGCATCAGCGGCCTTGGTCCCGCGGCCAGAGAACGATTAGCTCCACGCGGTTCCCAGCATCTGCTCGACTGCCTGCGCTCCCTGCTGGGCGCAGCCTTTTAAGCAAGAACAAAAGCAAAGACTTCTCAGAAGGTGCGCCTGAATCTCCGGCAACTGCACAGAGGGCTGAAGCAAAGACCTCTAGAGGTGGCAAATCAAAGTGCTGAGAATGCTGTGACAGAATGTGGCAAAGTTGCCAAGGTTGAGCCAGTTTGAGGCGTCGGCTGCCGAAGTAAGTGCTGCCCGCCGGCCTCTACTTGTTGTGTTTTTGTTGCGAGGGGGCGGTGTATACTGTGGTTTCTAGGTGGTGAGGGTGGGCGCCGTGGGCGCAACCTGCGCAGTCAGATGCATGCGGAGCTCCGGGGCAACTGGCTCGCAAGTCTGCAATTATCCACGCAAATCGAGTACGCAATTCGACACTTAAGACACCGAAGACTGTTTCTTCTCTTTGTCTCGCATCTCTCTGAGTCTTGACAGCTGTTGAGAGTGCCCTCTGAAAGATGTGGTCTGTGCAAGTACTTATACACCCATGAGAGAGATGAACCAATAAAGGAGAGAGCATAGAATCATAGAATTCAACACAGAAAAGACATAGAACATGAGATCACTGAGACTCTCTGAAAGAGGGCAGATCTTGCAATGCCGGGGTGCGGTGCGGCAGGCGAAGAGGCCCAGCAGCGACTTTGCCGGCTCCGAGGCGCCGCGCACCAGCTCCAGCAGCCGCCTCTCGAAGTCCCGTGCTATAAGTTACATCTCAAGTCAAAAACTGTTCCTTCTGAGAGATTGCTTAAGTCTTAAGTCATAAGAAGTCTTAAGCTTGCTTTGCAAATTCATTCCAAACAAACAAGAAATGGCGCTCAGGGCTTTCCCTCCCCAGCTCTGAGAGGGCGCACGCCGTGGAGCCGTCGATGACCATTGAGTGGCTGGCGACCTCTCTCTCTGAATTCTCGAAGTTGTGTGAAATCCGCCGAGGCCTCCTGCCGAAGGTGTATAGGTTGTCAGAACAGGCACCCCTCCCCCCAGGCCCTCCTTTTTCTGGGGGCAATTGCAGGCCCCCACCCCCAACCCCCCCCCCCCAAGTGCAAGGCTTAAATAGGCGTATTTGGAAGCTGAGAGTCGTGGTTTTGTGTGGTAGATCCAAAGGAAAGGGTAAATTTGAAAAAAAAAAAAAACCATTCTTGCTCTTCCTCCTCATCTTCAGGAATTCCCTTTCTCTTATGTTGCTTTTGAAAGCGAATAAGAAAAATAGCAGATAAGAAGAGAGGAAAGGGAATGACTAGTAAAATGAGGAGTTCTTCAATTTCCCTCCTATCTCTTATGTTACTTTTCATTCTTGTGGGGGTTCCCTTTTCCTCCCTTGAAGATGCAGAAAAACGATTGAAAAGGACACCCGTCCCATCGCCCATATGCAGGGAGAGAGGGAATCATGATCATCAGCTGGGGATTTGCTGCCATCCAAAAGGCGTACCTTTTAATCTCGTTTTCTGTGTCTTTCATCGAGCAAAAGGGGCACCCTCAGTGGTTTTCTTTGGTGTGTCCTTTTTCTCACTTGAAGATGCAGAAACGATCCAAAGGGACACCCGTTGGAGGAAGAGACGAGAGAAGGAGAAGGAAACCACCTCCTGTTGCCTTAGTCTAGGAGTGCTCGAAAACTGGGGTTCTCCGTTTCAAACAGACCTCGGACTTCGCGCGGCCCCTTGCCTCTTGGGCGCCTTCCTCCGGGGGGGCTCTGCGTGCGGAGGAGAGAGACAGAGAGAGGAGAGATACAATGGATTGCTTTTTAAAGGGAAGAGCAAAGAAAAGAATAGAAGAGAGATGAATGGAGAAGAGGGAGAGACAAAACAAGGGCGCTCTTTCTTTTCGAAATGAAAAAAACAAGGAAGAACTATTGAGAAGGAGAAGGGAGGAAAGGAACAGAAGAGATAGGCCGAGAGGAGGAATATGATGGGCTATTATGGAAAGGTCCACGCGCAAGGAGTCACCCTCTGCTTACCCTTCCACGCTTTTCATATGAGTTCCTTTCTTGTGTTTTATCAGTTTAAGGAAGCAGAAGAAGAGAAGGGAAAGGGAAGTGAAAGAGGAGAGATAACAAGGATGCTATGTTTCTGGAAGCGTGCTGCAAGGAATAGAAGAGACAAAGCAACGAGACGGAATCACAAAATTAAGGCTGCAAAGCTGTACATATCATCTTTCCCTTGTCTCTCCCTATTCCCTTTCGAACTAGAAAAAACCATTCTTGCTCTTACAGATAGTTCCCTCTCTCCTCTTAGGAATCCCCTTTCCCCTTATGTGCTTTTTGAAGCGAATAAGAAAAATAGCAGATAAGAAGAGAGGAAAGGGATGACTAAGTAAAATGAGGAGTTCTTCAATTTCCCTCCCTATCTCTTATGTTACTTTCCTTCTTGGGGGTGTCCCTTTTTCCCTTGAAGATGCAGAAAAACGATGGAAAAGGAACCCGTTCCATCGCCATATGTAAGGGGAGAGAGAATCATGAGCATCAGTGGGTTTGCTGCCAATCCAAAATGGGTGTTCCTTTTAATCGTTCTGTGTCTTCAATCGAGCAAAAGGGGCACCTCAGTTTTTCTCTTTGTCCTTTGTCTTCACTTGAAGATGCAGAAAAAGATCCAAAAGGACACCCGTTGGAGGAAGAGAGAAGGAGAGAGAGAGATACAATGGATTGCTTTTTAAATGGGAAGAGCAAAGAAAAGAATAGAAGAGAGATGAATGGGGAAGAGGGAGAGACAAAACAAGGCGCTCTTTTCTTTTCGAAATGAGAAAAACAAAAAGGAAGAAACTATGAGAAGGAGAAGGTAAGGAAAGGAACAGAAGAGATAGGCCGAGAGGAGAATATATGGAGTTTAAAAGGTCCGCGCAAGGAGTCACCCTCTGCTTACCCTTCCACTGCTTTATCATATGAGTTCCTTTCTTGTGTTTTATCAGTTAAAGGAAGCAGAAGAAGAGAAGGAAAGGGAAGTGAGAGAGAAGATAACAAGGATGCTATGTTCTCGAAGCGTGCTGCAAGGAATAGAAGAGACAGGAAGCAAGAGACGGAATCACAAATAAGGCGCAAAGCTGTACATATCATCTCTCCCTTGTCTCTCCCTATTCCCTTTCGAATTAGAAAACCCATTTTGCTTTCACAGATAGGTTCCCTCTCTCCTCTTCAGGAAATCCCCTTTCCCTTATGTTGCTTTTGAAGCGAATAAGAAAAATAGCAGATAAGAAGAGAGGAAAGGGAATGAGTAAAATGGGGAGTCTTCATTTCCCTCCCTATCTCTTATGTTACTTTTCCTTCTTGTGGGTGTCCGTTTTTCCCTTGAAGATGCAGAAAACGATGGAAAGGACACCCGTTCCATCGCCCATATGGAGAGGGGAGAGAGAATCATGAGCATCAGTGGATTGCTGCCAATCCAAAATGGGCGTCCCTTTTAATCGCTTCTGTGTCTTCAAACGAGCAAAAACACCCTGAGTGTTTTTCTTTTGGGTGTCCGTTTGTCTCGCGCTGAAGATGCAGGGGCCCGACTTTGGCCAAATTTTGCGGGCGCCTCCGGGCAAAATTTGGCCAAATCGAGCCGAGCATTTCGCATCATCGCAACGAAGGGCAGCCCGATTTGGCCAAATTTTGCCCGGAGGCTGCCCGGCAAAATTTGGGCCCCATCGAGCCGCGCATTTCTCATCGCATACGACGAGCAGCCCAATTTTTGCCGCAGATGCCCGGCAAAAATTTGGCCCAAATCGACGCCGCGATCGTTTTTTTAAATCATTCGGGGCCTCCAGAAAGGCGCGGCTCGATTTGGCCAAATTTTGCCGGCCGTCTGCTGGCAAAATTTGGCCAAATCGGGGGCTGCTCGTCGTTACGAGCTGAGAAATGCGGCTCGATTTGGCAAATTTTGGCGGGCAGCCTCCGGGCAAAATTTGGCCAAATCGAGCCGCGCATTCTCATCGCATACGAAGGGCAGCCCGATTTGGCAAAATTTTGCCCGGAGGCTGCCCGGCAAAATTTGGCCAAGTGAGCCGCGATAGTTTAAATAATTTCGTGCCGGGAATTAAATAGTTTAATAATTAAATAATTTAAATGCCCAGGTATTAATTTATTTGAATTATTTAATTTACCCCCCCGGCGGGCATTTAAATGATTTAAATTATTTAAATGAATTATTGCAAATTATTTAAATTATTTGATATTTATTTAAATATTATTAATTACCCGGCCCGAAGTTAATTAATGTAATACCTGGGGCATTTTATTATTCAAATTGGGGGTCCATTATTAAAAATTAGTTCCTCGGCAGGCCATGGCTCGTAATTTAGTATTGGGGGGAGGCCGGCTCGTGATTTAGTATTGGGGAGGAGGCCCGGGCTCGTAATTTAGATTGGGGGTGGTCCGGGGAATTAAAATTAAACAAATTAAAAACTTTAAACAATTAACTACTTAAATAAGTCGTTAAATAATTTGAAAAATTTAAATAGTTAATAATTTTCTTTCTGTTTTTTTAATAATTAAATGCCAGGGGGGGGGGGTCCGGGCCCCCTGCCTCCCGGGAATTAAAAACTTAAATAATTTAATATGGGGCATTAAATTATGTAAATATTTAATTCGGTACGGGGATAATAAATAATTTAAATGCCCCAGGTATTAAATAATGCCCAGGTATTTTAGATTATTTAAAGTATTAATACGGGAGGCAGGGGGCCCCCGGACCCCCCCCCAGGAGGCATTTAAATTCTTTGAAAGATTAAAGTATTTTAAAATTATGCAAATTATTCAAATTAGTAATTCCTCCGGCACGAATTAAATAATTAATAATTAAATACCTGGGGCATTTAAATTTTTTAAATGGGGGGTCCGTTATTTTTAAAAATTAAATTAAATTTCCTGGCTCGTAATTTGGTATTGGGGGAAGGCCGGGATCGTAATTAGTAGGCCCGGCTCGTATTTAGTGTGGGGGGGGGGGGGGGGGCTCGGGGGGGAGGCCCGGGCTCGTAATTTAGTATTGGGGTGATGCCGGGGAATTATTAAATAATGTAAAATAATTTAAATAATTTAAATAGTTTAAATGCCCCAGGGGGGGGTGGTCCGGGCCCCCTGCCTCCCGGGAATGAAAAATTAAATAATTAAACCTGGGGCATATTTAAATACCTGGTGCATTTAATTATTCAAATTATTTAATTCGGGCCGGGGCCCCAGGTATTTAAATAATGCCCCAGGTAATTTAAATTTAGAAGTATTAATTACGGCAGGGGGCCCCGGGAATTTAAATCTTTTGAAAAAATATTTTTTTTTAAATTATTTAAATATTATTAATTATTTTAATCCCGGCCCGAATTAAATATTTAAATATCTTTAATACCCTGGGGCATGTAAATTTTTAAATGGGGGGGGTCCGACCATTTAACAATATTTAAATCCTCGGCTTGTACATAGTTAGTATGGGGGAAGGCCCGGGGCTCGTAAATTAATTTAATGAATTTTTTAGGCCCTGGGCTCGTAATGGTTAGTAACTGGGGGGGGGGGTTATATTTAATTCCCCGGGCTCGTGATTAGTCTTGGGGGAAGGACCGGGTCCGCAATTGGGGGGAGGCCCGGGCTCGTAATTTAGTATTGGGGGTGATTTAGGGGTGGGATTAAAATAAGTCTGGGGTAAATAATACTTAAATAATTTAAATTAATTAAAAATTTAAAACAATTTAAATGCCCAGGGGGGGGGGGTCCGGGCCCCCGTGCCTCCCGGGAATTAAAAATTTAAATAAATTAAAAACCTGGGGCATATTTAAATACTGGTGCATTTAAATTATTTAAATATTTAGTTCGGGCCGGGGAATTAATAATTTAAATGCACAGGAGTTAAATAATGCCCAGGTATTAAATTATTTAATTCCCGGGGGGCAGGGGCCCGGACCTTCCCCGGCGGGGCATTTAAATTTTTTAAATTACCCCGCGCCGAATTAAATTAATTTGAAATACCCCCTTTGGGGCATTTAAATTATTTAAAGGGGGGGGCCAGAATTATAGTAAATGATTTTATTCATACGGCTCGTAGTAGTTAGTCTTGGGGGGGGGAAGGCCCGGGCTCGTAATTAATGTCGGTATTGGGGGGAGGGCCCGGCTCGTGAAATTTAGTATTGGGGGGGGGCCCGGGCTCGTGATTAGTATTGGGGGAGGCCCGGGCTCGTAATTTAGTTCCGGGAATTAAATAATGTTAAATAATTTAAATAATTAATAATTTAAATAATTTTTTTAAATGCCCCCCAGGGGGGGGGGGGGGGGGGGCCCGGGCCCCCCTGCTCCCGGGAATTAAAATAATTCAAAATATTTAAATACCCGGCCCGAATGGGGCATTTAATTATAAATTGGATTATATTAAAATTATTGAGTGCCCCCGGGCTCGTACCGAATAAAATTTAAATAATTTAAATGCCCAGGTATTTAAATTATTTAAAATTTATTTAAAATTATTGTAAATATTTATTACCGGGAGGCAGGGGCCCGGGACCCCCCCCGACGGGCATTTAAATTATTTAAAGTATTTAAAATATTAATTCTTGACCCCCATGACCCCCAGCCCCCCAGAAACCCAATAGGGTTTATTTGGAAGTGGCATCTTGTAAAGAAGTATATACGTTTTGGGGTCTGTTTTCCTTTGTAAACACGACTGTCAGCTTCCAAATAAACCCTACGAGGATTTAAGCAGCACACACTCCCCCCCCCCCCCCCCCCCCCAACCCCCAAAACAAACAAGGTTGTTGCAAGCCACTCCCGCCCCCCCCCCCCCCCCCCACCCCCCCCCCTTGGCTGCCACCCCCCCCCCGCCCCCGCCGGCTTCTAAACCCAAAAACCCAAACCCCAAACCGTGAACCTTGAGCCCTAAGCCCTCAACCCTACAACCCCCAAACCCCAAACCATAAACCCGGAACCCTAAACCCAACCCTTATTGCTGGGGTCCAGCGACTTGGGCGCTGCGGAATCGGGCCGAGGCGGGTCGCGTAGCGTTAAAATTATGAGAGTAAAATTTGACATGAAATGCTCTCTTGGGGCCCGTGCGCGGAAGCGCACCAGAACGGCCGGGATCTGAAGATGCCTCAGGGGGCGAACAGCGAACACTCAGACAGGAAATTGAGGCGGGGACAGGAGAAGATCCCCATGAATCCCCCTCTCTCCCTCCCCCTTTCCTTAAAACCACCTTATCTTCTTCTTCTGACCAAAGAGAGAAGAGCCGCCTTCTCTCTTTCTCCCTTCTCTTAGTTTGGTGGATTCTGGATTCTCTCCAACCGAGGCAGCAGGCATGTTCGAGGCTTCGAGAAAGTGCCAGAGTGCCGCGAAGGCCGCTGACGCCACGAACTTCTCCTCACGTTCAGTCACGTTCAAGCCACCCCCAAAAAACCGACTCTCGTGGAGAGATAAGACACGTTTCGAGACCGCTCTCAGCGCGATGGCCAACGCCATCGCCAACGCCAACCCTATGGGCACGGTGATTTATGATTCCCTCCTCGAGGTCAGGAGCCTGCAAGCCAGAGACACAGGTCTCCTGGAGCAAAGCCTGAGACAGCGCAGTGTCATAGCTGTAGTCTTCGAAAGTGTTGGAGTCGGTGTAATTTAAGTGTTGACTCAGTCTGGACCCACATTAACCCAGACTGATTCTTGTTGACTCGCAGGACTCGCGGGATCTGCCCAAAGAGGTTCAGCCCGTTCCCATTCAAAGGCCCCTGGAGACCCCCTGGCCTGAAACAGCTCCTGGTTTCTTAGCTTTGAGCTTGGGCTTCGGCCGGATATGTTCAGAAGCTGAGGACAAAATATGCCAGGTTCCAGGTTCGTTGTTGAGATGTCTTAAGACATTCAGAGAGCACTTCCCCACATGTCCACCGTCCTCACAGTCCTTACAGTGCCTTACAGCCACCCTGAGGCTCCTGATTTTTCACTTCTCACCCCCGCTCCAACCCCCCAGAGCCTCACAGGAGGTCAGAAATGCAGGCTTTTCCCTTTTTGGGCACCTCGCATGCGCGAGTTCTGGTAGTTCCTGGTTCTCCCAGTTGGTGGTTTCGCGGGGTCGGGAAGCCTCAAAAGCAGACCTTGACATGAAGACAGAAAGGTTTGAGTTCCACACCCTTCCCCCCCGAATCCATAATCGCATTTGCCGTTGCACATCGCACAATAGCAATGATTGCACACCTCATTGCTTGATTGATTTTGCTCTTGAGTTTTTTGCTCTCTCATTTGCGCTCTCGTTCTCTCTCTCTCTCTCTCTCTCTCTCTCTCTCTCTCTCTCTGTCATTGCAGGCGCCTGGCCCCGGGCCTCGTCGAAGTGCCGGCGCTCGAGGCACAGAAGCCTCTCCGGGAAGGCCTCTGACTCAGCTTCTCCCAGAAAGACAGAGAGAGAGAGAGAGAGAGAGAGAGAGAGAGAGAGAGAGCGAGAGAGAAAGAGAGAGAGGCAGAGAGAGAGACAGAGAGAGACAGAGAGAGAGCGAGAGAGAGAGAGAGAGAGAGAGAGAGTGGTGAGACAGCGACAAAGTCAACCAAAAGCGTAAAGAGCGAGAGACTCAGAGTGGCTCCCTTACACTGGCAGGCCCATTTATGTACGAGAGACAGTGCGCGCCTGCTCCAGAAGTAGAAGGAGTTGGGTGCCGCGCGCACTGCGGCCTCGCAGTTTACTAGGCCCGATCGGCCCGATCGCGGTCCGCCACTCAGTTCGGAGAATTGGGCAGAAATGAAAACAAAGAAAGCCCAACTCAAAAGCTCTGAGTCGAGTTGAAAACTGCCCTGGAAACGATTGTGCGATGCTTGCTAGGCTTGTGAGACCCGCCCGGCTTTTGTTGCCAGAAGCTTTGCAGCTTTCTGGTTTAATTTTCCAAAGCCAGGCCCAACTCTTAGCCCGCGGCTCACCAGCACTCGTGCGGGGTCCTGGAAAAGGCCTCGTCAAGTTCTCGGCACGTTTCGTGACGTGTGATGCCTTGTGCCTAGGGCGGAAGCGAAGATTTGTTGCTTTTTGCTTAGCCGTGGCTCTCTCGGCCAGAACTAAACAAAAATAAACACCTCCAAAAAAGCGCCGGCCTTGGCAGAGTGTTTCTTATTCATTGTTTAGCCGTGGCTGTGAGGCTCCCTCCACCGCTGTCCTGCACAGGCGCTTCCTTTTTTTGCATCGCCGTCCCGCGCCCCCCGCCCCTCCCCCCCCTGCCCCCGCCCCCCTGCCCCCCCCCTGCCTCCCGCGTGTCCCCCCTGCCCCCCCTGCTCTCCCCACCCCTCTCCTTTTACTTTTCGCCAAATCGTGAAGTGTGAGCCCCCAAAGCCCGCAACCCTAAACTAACCCTCAACCCGGACCTAAACCCGAAACCCAACCCTCATTGCTTGGGGTGCGGAATCACCATGCTCAGGCGGATACGCTGGGCCGGGCCGAGGCGGGTCGCGCAGCTTAAAATTACGGCGAAGAGGAACAAACTCGCCCCGAACTTGCTGAAGATTTCCGAGCTGCAATGCGAGACGACCCGGTTGTAGGAAGCGGTGTCTGAGAACTGGGTGATCTCGAATTGCATTGACCTAGAGCATGCAAAAGCATCCAAAGACCCAACGTGTTGAGACATTGCAGACATAGCTGCTATATCAATCTGGCTTCTTGTGCACTCGCGAGGGTTCAGGGTCTAGTGTTTCGGCTCTTTCCTTCTATCTTCACGGTGTTCTTGTGATTATGGTTCTTGATAGATTTTGATAGGCATCCCCACCGTCGGTGGACGGCAGCGAGGCCAATCTGCAGCCAAGACGATGGAATGATGGAATCAGGCCACGAACAAACGGAGAGGAAGAAACGAGGCCTCGCGTGCACGGGACTCAATGAGCGCCACCACCTAGTGCACTGCCCGGTGCACGAGCGCCGCAGTGCCATGTACCAAGTATCTGCCCTTCTGGTGCCCCTGCGACTCCTGAGAGCCGGAACCGACTCCCCCACGTGCCAATCCTCCTGCCGCGCAGCGTCATGAGGATTCAACAATTGCACTGTCTGACTCAGTCTGACGGGCATAAAGGAAAAATAAACAGAATTATGAATGTGTAAAGTGGAGAGTTTTGCTTTGAACTCTTTTTGAGCGCCATGTCCCCATAGGCGTGTCAAAGAGAGAGAGAGAGAGAGAGAGAGAGAGAGACTGGAGAGTGACACAAAATGACACAATTGGGCTCTCTCTCCCTCTCTCTCGCTGTACAAAAGTGCTACTAGTAGACCCTACACTTGAGAGCTCTGCTCTCTGCTACCGACTCTACCCCGTGGCAGCACCCCCCTTCCCTTCCCTCCTGTCAGAGACTCGGAGGCCAAGACGTAATGAGAACAGACCAAAAACACTTATGGATTTTTTTTGATTCCTTGTTATTAAGGTGAGACTTCTCTCTGAGTGAGTCTTTCTCAAAGAGCACGATATAGTCAGAGAGCGCTCTCCGCCCCCCCTTCGTCTCAGAGATCGGCTGCCCGGATCGCAGCTCCGCAGCAGGCCACTCTCACACGCGCAGCGCACGCAGCGCGCGAAGGAGCCCCGGCATCCCCGGCATCCCAGTGCCGCGACCTCGTTTTGAGTAAGAGAAGTTGCACGCAAGCATCGTGCAATGCATCAATTTCAACTCTCAACTCCCACATGCCTGTAACCTGGGGCGAGAAGATAAGCTGCGATTCGGAGCTTTTGCTTTTGGCAGGGCCCATCTTTAATTTCAGGTTAGCACTGAAATGCTTTGCACTACTACTGAGAAGTACAACTCTTTTGTTTCCAAGCAGGAATCTGCCAGCCAAGCCGGGGGCCCCGAGCTTCAGCGCATCAGTGCTCTCTCTACCCCTGACCCCGCCAACACATGGGTGGGGGGGGGGGCCCGCCCCGCCCCCATCCCTCTGATTACTCAACTTCTGTTCTGAGGGGGGCCCCGCTCTGCCAAGGAGCGTCGCGCCAGCACACCGGCAAAGAGTGCTGCGCTTGCGGACGCAGCAAAAGCACCAACAGCGTGGCCTCCAGCATGCCAGCCTGGCGCTGAGAGCGATGCAGAGCCCCTCCCAGAGAGCAAAATGCCCTCACTCTCTCAATATATGCAAAAGTCTCCCCTGACAAGAAAACTTCTGACAGCAGCAACAGCGGCAACAGCGGCAACAGCAGAGCAGAGAGCGCCTGTCGCGTGGCCCGTCGCGTGCCAGTGCTGGCTGTGCTGGGTGTGCCCTTGGCACGTGATCACATGACTCATCAATGACTCATGGCTATTCTTGACTCCGAGATTTTATGTGATCCTGTTGTGTCACTGTTCTGTGTTGTACAGTTAACTGTACACTCAAACTCCACAATGTGACAGAACAGAGAGTCTCAGAGGCTGTGCAAGACTCAAAAAAATTGTCTCAGAGCTGCTACTGCAATCGCAAGCCGCGACGGCCAGGGGCGCCGGAGCATCCTCGGGGGGGCAACGCTCGGGTATTCTTTTATCTGCTGTCAAATATCTCACTCCCAGACAAGCAGGCGTCCGCCGCGGCCACTGATCCCCTTGCTTCCTCTGTGTACCTGAGAGTGGACAGTGCAGGAACAGCGCAGGAACGTGCAGGACGTCCGTAGAACAACGAACTTGGGAGCTGCCACATCCACGTTGCCTGGCCAACCCAACGTCAAAGTCCACAATGACTTCTTTCTACAGCCAAAAATGTTTGCATTCACAAAAAAAAGTCGAGAAGAAGTTCCCCTTCGTCTGACTTTGATTCAAGGGGCGAACGAAGGCAATATTGAAGTGGCCATCGGGAAGCAAAGCGTCATATATCCATGTCAAGGTTCTTTTTCAAGCTGCTAGTGACGCTTTCGGAACGTTTCCGTGACGGCTTTCTCTCGCCCCAGTCCCGTGCCATTCAGTGGTCCAAATCGCGCCTGTCATCCCTGCCATGTGTTCGCGACACCGAGCAGACCGAGCATGGCAAAAGCAGCTGAAACAAAGATTGAGAAGGGTTGTGGACCTTTAGAGGCCCTTTTTCTCCCAAAAACATCTCGGATGTTGGGTTCTTGTTTAGGTTCAAAACGCGAGAGCACGATACCGGGGAATGGCGGCGCAGGGTGAAAGCGAAACGGGGATAAAAACGAAACGGGAATGAACGAAGCGGGGAGATCAGAGCCGCGGGGTGAAAGCGTGTTGCTTGTACGACGGCGCGTATGGCGGAGGGATTTTCGGTGAATTGTAGTACAAATGTAGTCCTGGAGGACAGAGCCGGAGGGGGGCGAGAGCGGACTGCGGCACGTACGACGGCGCGTACGCGGAGGGATTTTCGAAGAATTGTAGTACAAATGTAGTGCTGGAGGACAGAGCCGGAGGGGCGCGAGAGCGGACAGCGGCACGCATGCACGGCGCGTGCGACGGCGCGTACGGCGGAGGGATTTTCGTTGAATTGTATAGTACACATGTAGTACTCGAGGACAGAGCCGGAGGGGCGCGAGAGCGGACTGCGGCACGTACGACGGCGCGTACGACGGCGCGTACGGCGGAGGGACTTTCGTTGAATTGTAATACAAACGGAGGACAGAGCCGGAGGGGCGCGAGAGCGGACTGCGGCACGTACGACGGCGAGGACGACGGGGTGTACGGCGGAGGGATTTTCGTTGAGTTGTAGTACAAATAAAGTACTGGAGGACAGAGCCGGAGGGGCGCGAGAGCGGACTGCGGCACGTACGACGGCGCGTGCGACGGCGCGTACGGCGAAGGGATTTTGCTTGAATTGTAGTACAAATGTAGTACTGGAGGACAGAGCCGGAGGGGCGCGAGAGCGGAACTGCGGCACGTACGACGGCGCGTATGGCGGAGGGATTTTCGTTGAATTGTAGTACAAATGTAGTACTGGAGGACAGAGCCGGAGGGGCGCGAGAGCGGACTGCGGCACGTACGACGGCGCGTGCGGCGGAGGGATTTTCGTTGATTTGTAGTACAAATGAGCGGACTGCGGCACGTACGACGGCGCGTACGGCGGAGGGATTTTCGTTGAATTGTATAGTACAAATGTAGTATTGGAGGATAGAGCCGGAGGAGCGCGAGAGCGGACTGCGGCACGTACGACGGTGCCGCGTACGACGGCGCGTACGGCGGAGGGGTTTTCGTTGAATTGTAGTACACATGTAGTACTGGAGGACAAAGCCGGAGGGGCGCGAGAGCGGACTGCGGCACGCACGACGGCGCGTACGGCGGAGGGATTTTCGTTGAAGAGAGCGGACTGCGGCACGATTGACGGCGCGTACGGCGGAGGGATTTTCGTTGAATTTCAGTACAAATGTGAGCGGACTGCGGCGCGTACGACGGCGCGTACGGCGGCGTGGAAAGCTGAGGGGTAGTACAATTGTAGTACTGGGAGGACAGAGCCGGAGGTGCGCGAGAGCGGACTGCGGCGCGTACGACGGCGCGTACGGCGGCGAGGGAAGCTGAGGGATTTTCGTTGAGTTGTAGTACATGTAGTACTGGGAGGGCAGAGCCGGAGGGGCGCGAGAGCGGACTGCGGCGCGTACGGGGATCCAAGATGATGAGTTCTGACCGGGTACAACCAAAGCCAACACGCAGTCTCAGTCGATACGCTTCCGACAGACACGCCGTAACATGAGGTTTTTCGCCTCAATTAGTCAACTACCCTGCGTCGCCATACTGTCTATAAAATGTGCATACGGCATACGGAATGGACGTTAAAGTGGGGGGTTTCACTCCGGCACTGTTGTCATGCGGATTGTTTTTGGGTTCCTGGCTTGGCCTTGTTTTTTTTGTGAAGACGTACGGCCAGCCAGCCTGTGATTTCGCAAAGGCGCTGCAGTGCTTTTGAGTTTTGGGGCGCGTGCCGCAGAGGCAGCTGCAGCAGCTCGGCTTCGGGCACGTGCTGTCGCCTGGCAATATATATTCAAGCATAACGAACATACAGCGAAAGAGATTAGAGAGGCAAACGCGGTAACTTGGCAATATCTGGCAATCTTGCACTCAAGTCGAACACCAGTTGTAAAGTCGCACACGTCGCGCAAAAACTCGAAACAGTCTGGACAGCCAATTTGAGAGTTGTCTTTACAGCTGGTCTCTCGAGAACTGAAGCAAACGGGCCAGGGCGCAACTGGACGTTGGCGAGCTCGAAAAGTCGCCTTGAGGCCTTGGCGCTGGCCCGGTCGTTGTGCTTGTCCTCAGTCTCTGCGAAGTCTCAGAAAGTGTCAGACATCTCAGAAACTGAGAAAATCTGGGGGGGCGCTTCAGAATCGACGAATGCAAGCAGCTGCAAATAGTAAAGACAGCCTCCGGCTGACTCCTCAATTTCAAACCCCCCCCCCCCCCCCCCGCACTTTTCGCACCCTAAGTTTGCGGACGCAGCAATACAGACGAGAGGCGGATGCAAAGATCACCTGCTTGATGCCTGCCTCGTAGCACAAGAGTGGCTGCAGAGATGCGCGCGCACTATCCTGCACTACTGCTGCTGAGCTGCTACTGTCGTTGAACTCCGATTGAGCACTTTGTGCTGTTGGAGTTGGAACGAAACTCACTGGGGTACAAAATCAGCCTTTCAAATTGGTGCCCCAAATATACGAAAAGATCAAAAGACATTACAAGTGTTCAGGCTTTAATTTCGCGCGGAGTTCTAACAGTATAATATGCAAGGAACATAGTGACCGCGCGATATTCATATGATCCCGAGAGCCTGAATGATGACCTTGGCACACTCGTTGCAAGGAAAGAGGGTGCTGTAGATCCTTGCAAGAGCCACCATCAAGCTTGAAGGTTTTTATTGGGTTCAACCAAGTGGAGTCCACGAGTGTGACGGAGGCCTGCATCCGGAGCAACTCTCGGCATTCTTGTTGAGCACAGCATTCAGCTCTGCATGAACCACCTGCATTTTGGATCCGCGCACTGCGTGTGCACGACGCTATATTGTTGTTTGCACAGATGACAGCACGCACTTTACTTCGGAGCACGAGGCCCCGCGTGCTTTGGTACACGCCTCCGGCT